ATGTGCAATTGCAGGAGTAATTGTTGTGTCATTCTTCCTATTTGGTTTCAAGGAAAAACAAAGAGCAGTCTTGTGGATCTTTATCGAAGGAGCCATTTAGGCAACTTTCTTATGAAGCTCTCCTCCAAACAACAGACGGGTTTCTTCGACAAATTTAATTGGCAAAGGGAGCTTTGATTCTGTCTATAAAGGAGTTCTTCAAGAAGATGGAACTAATGTTGTAGTTAGAGACTTAGAGTGCTTTATCTTGAGCATGGAGGAGCTTCTAAGAGTTTCACAGCAAAGTGTGAAGCCTTAAGGGACATTCGTTATCGCAACCTTGTAAAGATCATATCTTCTTGCTCCAGCATTGATTTCAAAGGCAATGATGTCAAGGCTTTGATTTATGAGTTGATGGCCAATGGAAGCCTGGAAAATTGGCTGCATTCATCAGTTCAGGAAACAAATAACGGCCAAGGCAAAGTCTAGAGTCTAAATCTTTTGCAGAGGATAAGCATTGCTATTGATGTTGCTTCTGCTCTAGATTACCTTCATCACCCTTGCTTGAATCCAATTGTTCATTGTGATTTAAAGCTGAGCAATGTTCTTCTGGACATTGACATGACTGCTTATGTTGGAGATTTTGGGCTTGCAAGATTTTTTTCAGAGCTAACAATGCCAAATGAAAGTAGCTCAGTTGGAGTGAGGGGAACAATTGGTTATATTGCTTTAGGTGATCCTAATATAATATTACTTTATGATTTCAATCTTTTTCCATATTTCCTTAGCATTTTTTTTTGTTCAATCTAACCTATTGGTTTTCGCCAATGGCAGACTATGGCGTGGAAAGTGAGGTTACAATGCAGGGGATTGTATCCAATGATGGAATGGAATCCTAGTGTTAGAAGTGATAACAGGAAAGATACCCACAGATAATACCTTTGAAGGGGACCTTAACCTTATAATTATGCCAAAATGGCCTTTCCCGATCAAGTTGTGCAGATTGCAGAACCAAAGCTGCTACACGAAGCTGCAGCCAGTATTAACAGACGGATTCGTGCACGGGCAGCAAGTAGTAGCAACACGATGAACTGTCTGGTCTCTTTGATTAGGAATAGTGTGGCATGTTCCATGGAGTCACCTCAAGACTGGATGGGCATTTGTACCGTTCTCACTGAGCTGCAACTTGATCAGGAACAATCTTCTACGAGGCCAAGCAAACAACAGGCATAACTAGTCCAACCTCTAGGTCGAATGATCTTTAAACATATTTAGCTATGCAATAAGTAGAAAGTGTTCTGCTGTTCTTATCTTTTCTTTTTTTCCTTAAGGCAAGGAAAGCTGAAGTGTAGTGTTGGATTGCATTTGGCGTGTTTGAAGCACGATTTCTCTATTCTACTATTCTTGAAACTAAAAATAAAGGACGATAGAAAATGTTGGTAACTGGATTGTTTTTTCATTGATTCTAATTAGTTGTTTATGGTAAAATACAAATGGAAGACTTATCAACCCAAAGTTACCTCCACTGATCCACGGCTAAACAAGTGTCTTAGGTTAAAAGGTTAAGTTTCGAGGTTACTCACATTTAACAGTAAATTAAATTAAAAAAAAAACTCACCGTGGCATTCACGTCTATCTTGACAACATGCATCATTGAAAGGGTTGAAAAACTGAATGGATTAGATGGAAACCACCATTTCTTGAACTAAATCCACTGAAGCCACTAAGAAATATCTTCAGGGGACATGGCAGACAAAGAAGAATATCCCAAGTCATGACCTCTAGTCCACCATTTCTGTACAACCATGGCAGAATCGGCCACATAGCAGAGAATGGAGCCTCCTTTGGTTGAGGCCTTCACCGAATTGAGCCTTCCCCGTGGTTAATTGATGGATTTGAAGAGAATCCACTCTGTGATCGCCAGCTTGGCCCCAATCGGGCTAGAGAAGGGGGGAGAAAGAAGAAACGCTTGAATTTTGTGCGTTTTGTTCATTTCAATTTGATAAATTTTGTTTTCTGCTCTTTCTCTTCTGAACTTCTAATAATTTAGTCCCTTTTCTTTTCCAATTTTCATGTTAGTCCCCATTTTGGTCTCAGAAAGGAAATCACAATTAAAGTTTTTTGAGTTTTCAATTGAGTCCAAAATAGTAGTAAGAAAATCCTTAATTAATCCCTCCTTTAGACAAAATATCTAGAGTTTTGAAATGATTAATTGTAAAAAATTGAATCTTTTCAATAAATTACAAATTAAAAAAAAAACAGATTTAAATTTATATTTTAAGATTTTGATTTTCAAAAATTGATTAATTTTAAAAAATGTGATTAATTAAGAAATTGATTCAAAGTTCATAAATTAAGAAAATGAGCGTATTACACTAAGCTTGCTCTTTTATGACCTTTTTCTTCTTTTTTGCACAAGAGTAAGTTGTAAAAACACTAGCTAATAATAATAAAAATAAATAATAAGCTGTAAAACATGAAATGTTGAAATGGGAATATGGGATGATTCCTTTCCAATTATAAGCAATCCTTTTGGTGCCAAAGTTCCAGCTCAAAATAAATAAATAAATAATCCAGCAATAATTAAAATTACCACTGCGAACAGAAAAAATAACAGTTTCTAGTAGGCCAGTGAAAAGGTCAATGCAATTATAGAAAGCCAAAAAAGGATGCCAATTAATCAATTGCAGAGTAAAAACATTAAGGAATTGATTATCCTTGACATTAATGAGTGACTAAAAGAAGTGATAAGTCAATCAACAAAATATGGTATCTTGCTCCTGACCTGTAAATTACAGAGACATCTAAGTGCCTGTTTTGGCCAATGGGATATTTAGAACTTGCATGGCTAAGTCTTTGGACCTACATTCTATCAGCAAACCACTTGTTTAGACTTGATGTTAACTTTAAGGTGAACAAAGACCTCACAGTATCCACAAACTTTATGAATCTCTAATATTGGTCCCATGAATTTTCAAACAGACATGGATTAGAGATGATGGTTTCAATTGAAAATTTGCCAATACTCATTTGTACCAGTTAGTGGAAACCGCATATAATATTCTAATGAATGTGTTTGTCCCAGAATATGCAATATCACCACCAATTTCAAAAAGATGCTATTTTTTTGGGTATATGAATGATTACCGCAATGTTATGTTCAAAGATGGCTGCTTCAATATAGAGTAAAGGTGAAAATAAGGATTCTAACTTTGCATTTTTTTTTTTATTTAAAGATGTTAATTTTGTCATTTTTTAAGTAAAGATGTCAATTTTCAATTTTTTTCTATTTAAGGATATCAATTTTGAACTTTTTCTATTTAAGGATGTCAATTTTTAACTTTTTCTATTTAAAGATCAATGGGTAGTGATGCTAACATCGGCTAACATATTTTTTTAGGTTAAATATATGAATTGGTCCCTTAAATTTTATACTTTAACCAATTCATCCTTAAACTTCAAAAAGTACTAAAAACATCCTTCAATTTCAATTTTCAATTTCGTCTTTCCATCAGTTAAATGTTGTGTAGCTAATTTTTTTGCTAAGTGATTGATTATTTTACATTTTCAATATTAGGTAGAAAATCCATCATGTAAAAAATGATTATATGGATTTTTTTAATTTTAAATAATTTAAAAACTACTTTAATTCTTAATTTTACTTTATTCATATTTAAAAATTAAAACTTGATATATTTTCCCATTTAATTAGTCCCACCTACCATTTAATAAAATTAAATAAAAGTTAATTAATTTTTCCATGAATTAAGAAATAATTTTATTAATTAAAAATTGAAGTTAAAGGATGTTTTCGATACTTTCTGAAGTTCAAGGATGAATTAGTTAAAAAATAAAAGTTGAGGAACCAATTTAGGTATTTAACCTAAAAAATATGTCAACTGGGCATTACCACCCATTAATCCTTAGATAGAAAAAGTTGAAAATTGACATCCTTAAATAAAAAAAAAATTAAAAGTTGACATTCTTACTTAGAAAATGATAAAGTTAACATCTTTAAATAAAAAAAAGTACAAAGTTGAAATCCTTATTTGTACCTTTACTCCTTCGATATAATATTTAAATCTAAAAACTTATTTAAATTGAAATTTTAAGATTTTGATTTGCAAAAATTAATTAATTTTAAAAAATGTGATTAATTAAGAAATTAATTCATAATTCATAAAATAAGAAAATCAACCTATTACACTAGAGTACTTTTTTTTATAATGCTTCTCGGTAATTTAATTTTTAGTTTTTATATCTTTTTATCATTTTAAAATATAAAAAAAATATTAATTAAAATAAATATTAAATATATTTTATATTTTTTTAAGATTTTAAAAAACCGAGAAAACTAATAACGACAACTATAAACTAGTACTTCTAAACTAAGTCTAAGCTTGCTCTTTTATGACATTTTTCTTCTTTTTGCTCAAGAGTAATAAGTTGTATAAAATGCTAATAAAAGGAATTAAAAAAAAAAAAAACTGTAAAAACATGAAATGATGATATGGGAATACGGAATATATGATTCCTTTCCCATTATGAGCAATCCTTTTTGTGCCAAAGTTCCAGCTTAAATGCATAATCCAGCATTAACACTTTTCGAAGGCAAGAGAAAAGGCCAATGCAATTATAGGAAGCAAAGAAAGATACCAATTAATCAATTGCAGAGAGAAAACATTAAGAAACAGATTATCCTTGACATTAATGATTGATTAAAAGAAGTACTAAGTCAATCAACAAAATATGGTATCTTTCTCTTGACAAAATATGGTATCTTCCTCCTGACCTGTAAATCACAGAGCCATCCAAATGCCTCTTTTGGCCAGTGGGATATTTAGAACTTGCACGGCTAAGTCTTTGGCCCTGCATTCTATCAGCCAACCACTTATTTACACATGCAGTTAATTTTAAGATAATCAAAGACCTGACAAAATGCACAAACTTTCTTATATAAAATGTTCCTGCTACAACTTGTAAGAATTGTAATCCGATATATGTTGCCCCAAAACACAAAAAAAAAACAATGAGAATGATTCTTTCCACTTTTGCTAGCGTACAGGCATCGCTTGCAGTCATAGAAGAGACAGAGTTTTAGTTCTTTTGAATTCACCTGTTCTATTTTCCTTGTTATTCAATGAGAATGGCCCTAAGTGACTCATATCTTGCGGTCTTGCAACGCATCACCACTCAACTCTCCTCCAAAGCTCTGATCAGCTAAACAATTCTACCGTTCTTGAAACTTCTAGCAAAGAACAGTAGAATCTCAGAAGATTTTGCAATTTGCAAAATTTGATGTCTCTCAGCTGGTATTTACAGAAATGTTGTTAATTAGGGTGTTTTTTCATTAATTCTAATTAGTTGTTTATGGTCTAATACAAACAGATGACTCACCATGGCTTTCATACCAATCTTGGCAACATGCATCATTTAAAGGATTGAAAACTGAATGGATCAGATGGAAACCACCACTACTTACTTGAATTAAGTCCAGTGAAGCCACTTTGAAATATCTTCAGGGGACAGCAGAGACAAAGAAGAAAAAAATCAAAAAGCAATGACCTTTTGTTAACCGCAAGAGTCTTAGTCTTTGTGTTGGAAATATTGTTAGAGTTGTGGTATTCAAATTAACCTGCAAAATTGATGAAATGAAAGCCGAAAATTGACAGCAAATGAAGTTGCCAATTTGACAGCTAATATGACAGCAATTTAGCTGCAAATATGACGGAAATGAAGCTGTCATATGACAGCAAAAGTGTGCAGCAAGCTAAGCTGCAAATGTCAATGAGTCAATGACAATTCAAAGTATTTGGCAGGCACTTCTAAAACCCCTGTTTTTCTATAGGAATGACAATGAAATCACAAGTTGATCTTTGTAACAATGCGGGCCAGAATTGTATCTTCAAAAAAATTGATGCCTCAACCGTTGGAGTCCAGTGATGAAAATTAGAATTATAATCAGCGTAGGAAAAAATGAAAAAGAAAATCACAAAAGTCATGATCTTTGATCCATCTACCTATCTTTGCTCCATTTCGTGGAATAGGACTAGCAAGTCAAAGTCTTTGGCCTTAATTTCAGAAATCAAAATTTAGGTAATATTCTCACCAACGTCATGACACGTTTATCATAAAACCCAACATGGTGCAGAGTTACAAAGACATTAGCCACAAAAGCACTTGTGTTGGAAATGAAAATGCAAGGGATAATCTCCTATGCAATCTGTTATCAAGCCATTCTACTCTTGCTTTTCCACATTCTAAGTTCCCAATCTGGAGCAAAGGCCACTCCGATTTCTACCGGAAATGAAACCGATCATCTGGCCTTGATAGCCTTCAAGTCCAAGATTTCAAATGATCCTCAGGGGATTTTGAAGTCCTGGAACGATTCTATCCACTTTTGCTGGTGGGCAGGCATCACTTGCAGTCATAGAAGACACAGAGTCACCATCTTGGATATATCGTCCAGAGGCTTGGTGGGTTCTTTATCTCCTTCCATAGGGAACTTGAGCTTTCTTCGTGAGATTAGACTTTCAAATAACAGCTTTCATGGGGATATCCCACTTGAAATTGGACGTCTATTCAGATTACAGCGACTAAATCTGAGTTACAATTCCTTTGAAGGAAAGCTCCCAGCCAACTTGTCTGGTTGCTCCAACCTCAGTGTCCTCCACTTGGATGACAACAAGTTAGCAGGAAAACTTCCAGTGGAGCTTGCTTCCCTGTCGAAGCTTACATATCTTTCTATTCGTGACAATCATTTCACCGGAGGGATCCCACCTTTCCTTGGGAATCTTACATCTTTAATATACTTGGCTGCACGTCTTAATAACTTTGGAGGTAGGATTCCAGATGCCCTAGGTCGATTGAGAAGCTTAAAACGTCTTTCACTTGGAGGAAATAACATCACCGGTAAGATCCCCCCATCAATCTATAATCTTTCTATGCTTTCCATTTTCGCCTTGGGTCAAAATGAACTGGAAGGTGATCTTCCATGGGACATAGGGCTCACCCTTCCTCATCTAACATTCTTCCAAATATGGGAAAACTATTTTAGGGGGCAGATTCCAGTAACATTATCCAATGCTTCAAAACTTAGTCTCATTGACATGGAAATAAACAATTTCTCTGGCAAAGTAACAGTTCCCTTCGGGCATCTTCAACAGCTTGTAGCCTTGGGTTTGCAGAATAATCATCTAGGAAGTGGTGAATCCGATGAAATGAACTTTTTCAGTTCTTTGACCAACTGTAGCAATCTGAAAACATTACATCTTGCTACTAATAAGTTCTCGGGAAGATTGCCTAATTCTATAGCCAATTTCTCTACCAATCTAATGGAACTTGAAGTTGCAGAAAATAACTTATTTGGAGAAATCCCTTCAGAATTAGGGAATCTTGTAGGCTTGAATTTGTTTGTAGTAGGAAACAATCAGCTTATTGGAAAAATTCCAAAAGAAATAGGCCTACTTAAACAACTGCAGTATATAGATCTTAGCATGAATAAATTCTCGGGAGAAATTCCAGATTCTTTTAGAAATTTAACATTATTGACTGAGCTTTATCTTGATAACAACAAGTTAAATGGTAGTATACCATCAGGCCTTGGGAAATGCCAGAATTTGTTGATATTGACAATTAATGACAATGACCTCAGCGGTTCCATGCCCAAAGAACTTTTCAGCATTTCTTCTCTGAGTCGTTTTCTCGACCTTTCTCATAATCATTTGGTTGGATCATTACCTTCAGAAGTTGGTAAATTACAACACTTAGGGAGACTGGATGTATCTGAGAATAAGCTCTCTGGAAAAATCCCAAGTAGCCTGAGTGGTTGCACCAGCCTTGAGATCCTTAAACTGGAGAAAAACAAGTTTCAGGGCAACATTCCTCCATCTTTAAGCTCTATGAGAGGAATTCGAGCAATTGATCTCTCTTGCAACAACTTGACTGGTAATATCCCTCAATACATGGAAAAACTTGCATTGGAGTATTTGAATCTATCTTTCAATAATTTGGAAGGAGAGGTTTCAACAGAAGGCATCTTTGCAAATGCAAGTGTGGTGTTTGTTGGAGGAAACAAGAAACTTTGTGGGGGAATTGCTCAGCTTGGGTTGCCCAAATGCAACAGCAAACAAGGAGACAGAGGAAAACTTTCACCAGTGATGACAATAACAATAGTTGTCTCCATTACATGTGCAATTATAGGAGTAATTGTTGTGTCTTTCTTCCTGTTTGGCTGGTCTAAAAGGAAAAACAAAGGCCAATCTTCTGGATCTTTAATGAGGGAGCCATTTAGGCAACTTTCTTATGAAGCTATCCTCCAAGCAACTGATGGGTTTTCTTCAACAAATTTAATCGGCAAAGGAAGCTTTGGTTCTGTCTATAAAGGAGTTCTTCAAGAAGATGGAACTAATGTTGCAGTCAAAGTGCTTGATCTTGAGCATCGAGGAGCTTTCAAGAGTTTCTTAGCAGAGTGTGAAGCCTTAAGCAACATTCGTCATCGGAACCTTGTGAAGATCGTAACTTCTTGCTCCAGTATTGATTTCAAAGGCAATGATTTCAAGGCTTTGATTTATGAGTTGATGGCCAATGGAAGCCTAGAAAACTGGCTGCATTCATCTGTTCAGGAAACAAATAATGGCCAATCCAAAGTCCAGAGTCTTAATCTTTTGCAGAGGATAAGCATTGCTATTGATGTTGCTTCCGCTCTTGACTACCTTCATCACCATTGCTTGAATCCAATCGTTCATTGTGATTTGAAGCCGAGCAACGTTCTCCTGGACAATGACATGACGGCTCATGTCGGAGATTTTGGGCTTGCAAGATATTTTTCAGAGCTAAGAATGCCAAATGCAAGTAGCTCCGTTGGAGTGAGGGGAACAATTGGGTACATTGCTCCAGGTGATCAAAATATTCTAGTTCTTTATGATTTCAATCTTTTAATTTCTATATACCCTTTAGTATTCTTTTGTTCAACCTAATCTTTTGATTTTCATCAATGCCAGAATATGGCATGGGAAGTGAGGTTACAATCCATGGGGATGTATATAGTTATGGAATTCTAGTGTTGGAGATGATGACAGGAAAGAGACCAACAGACAGCCTCTTTGAAGGTGGCCTTAACCTTCATAACTATGCCAAAACAGCCTTACCTGATCAGGTTATGGAGATTGCAGACCCAAAACTCCTACATGAAGCTCAAGCAGCTACCATTAACAGTCAGATTCGTGTTCGGGCACGGTATAACAGCCTAAGGGATTGTTTGATCTCTATGATTAGAATTGGCGTGGCATGTTCCGTGGAGTCACCTCAAGACCGTATGACCACAAGTGCTGTTCTCACTGAGCTGCATATGATAAGGAACAATCTTCTACGAAGCCAAGCACACTACTAGCATATCTCTAGGCTCTGGGTCTGAATGTTATTCAATATATTCAGTTATGAAATAAGTGAAATGTTTTTCTTTCTTTCTTTTTATTTTTTTCTTCGGTTTGTGAGAAGCAAGGAAAGCTGAAAAGTGTGTCGACTCGAATCATGTTATATAATGTTTATAAATTCTGTTTGCTCATCTCAGCTTCTACGGTGTTCTGGGGATCTCCTCCCTTCACCACTTGGGTTTTGCTTGTCTCTCATGAGCTCCCACCATGGCTGTTTATAGCTGGAGGAGACCTTCAACTCTCCCGTCCGATCATTCCTCAACTTCTCACCATTGATCGATAACGGCATCTCGGAGAACCATCGTTCTAGCTCGGTGCTGGACCCATGGGGAAGAGGAATCGGCCACAATGCAGAGGATGGAGCTTCAATTGGTTAATTGAAGGGTTTAAAGACAATCCACTCTGCGATCGAGGGTACGGTGATGTACTTAGCCCTAATCCAACTTAAAGGAGGAAGACAGACAAAACGCATGACATTTGTGCGTTTTGTTAATTTTAATTTAACTACTTTTGTTTGTTATCCTTTCTCTTTTGGAGTCTCAAAGCTTTATCCCTTATCTTTTCTTTGATTTCATTTTAGTCCCTGAAATTTACAAATAAAGTTTTATGAGCTTTCATACGAGTCCAAAATAATAAAATCTTGAATTAACCCTTTTTAAACATATTCTATAAAATTTTGAAATCTTTTCAATATATTACAAATTAACAAAGCTTGATTTGAATTTTGAATCTTAGGATTTCAACGTTCAAAAATCAATTAATTTTACAAAGATGAAGTCTAAGGATCATTAAAAAAAAAAGCGTTAAAGACAAATTTATAATTTTATCTTTTTTAATTTCAAAAGATACTCTAATTTCTTTTTTTTTCTTCTTTTGTCAAAAAAAAAATGATATCTTAATGTGTAAATAATTTAGCTGTTAGTGTTGTTTTCAACTCTTGAGTAATTGCTTGAAAGTTAAGAAAAATGAATTTAGAAAAAGAAAATAGAGTTTTAAATATGATGATTTCATATAATTTGACACGATACCCTTGAACCCTCTGAACTTTTGCTTTTTATATTCTTTCAATGCTTTTAAACGTTTCAATGGGTTTAGAAAGAGAAAATGGAGTTCTAAATCTTATGATTAGGTTATGGGGATCACTGATCCAAAGCTCCTACACCACGCTCAAGCAGCTACCATTAGCAGTCATATTCGTGTTCGGGCTCAGTATTACAGCCTAAGGTATTGTCCGATCTCTATGATTAGAATTGGCATGGCATCTTCTGAGGAGTCACCTCAAGACCTGATGAGCACAAGTGCTGTTCTTACTGAGCTGCATCTTATAAGAAACAATCTTCCAAGAAACCAAACAAACTACTAGCATATCCTAACCTTTGAGTCTGGAAGTTGTTAAACATATTTAGTTATAAAATATATAATAAGCAGAAAGTTTTTGTGTTATTATTATTTTTTGGTTTGTGAGAGGCAAGGAAATAAAATGTCAGATTCTATTTTCCTATTTATGAAGCACAATTTCCCT